ATGCAAGTCTTAAAGCTTTCAAGTTACAAGATCCTTGCCAGTGGTGGGTTTCAAAATTTTTTGGAACTTCTTCTGTAGGTGTGGCCTGCTTTCCGGGTCCACTGGTGGAACCTCTTCTAACCGGTTTGGTAGATTTGACAAACCGGTTCTACCGAATAGGTGCGAACTGGTAGGAACCCACCTCTGCTACCTACCTACTATGAGGAATCGAAATCTCCTTTCCCCAGCTGATTATTCTCCTGCCATCTCAAAATCAGCCAAAAGTCACCACCTATTTTTGTGTACATTAAATCTCAACATCTGGAGAACAAAGCAGAAAAAGAAGTGCCTGCTTTTTTCCTCCTCTCCCCCCTCCTCCTCCTCCTCCCCTCCCTTCTATGCAATGGAAGCCAGCTCTGACCCCCAGATGATTGAGACTCCTAAGAAGGGAGTCAGCAGAGGGCTTGGCCTTCAACCTTCAGCCTCTGGAGAACAAGCTAAGGCCAGGTCATCTGATGGACCTTCTTCCCACTTTCAGACATGCAATTCTCTCCTTCTCAAGCTGTGCTGCTGACTCTTGGAAGACAAAGTCTGGGTGCTCTGACAGCCAGCCCACCCCTCTCAAACGGGCACGAAGAAGAATAAAAATCCATTCCACTCACCAGAGAGAAACGCGATTCCTTTCCTCAGGTCCTCTGCAAGCTCCTTGGCCCTCGTTGGGGCAGCTGATTCTAGGAAACACAACAATGCAAAGGGTGTGAATGATGTGGCTGGGCAGCTCAGCCTCAGGGCTTCAGAGCTCTTGGGTCCCCCTTTTGGCAATTTTGGGGTCTTGTTCCTCAGCCTTGTCCCTGATCTCCTCATCTGCTGGAAATCAGTTTAGCTTCCTTCTCCTTTTTCCACCTCCACTCTGTCTCCTTATGTATGGTGGAACATCTTCCAGGTTCCTCCTGAGGATCATCTTGGGGTCTTTAGTGAAGGGTTGTGAGTCTGGGGGGTGGGGAATCCCCTAACAGGCATGCCCTTGAAACCTTCCTGCCCTGGGGAGGAAGGGGGAGGCAAAAATAGGGGACTGAAGGCCTAAAATCACAACCCACATTTAAGAAAAGTCACTTTTGCCCACTTGTGAGATAACCTTCTGCTCCACCAAATGTTATGAGTAGATCTTGGCTTCCTAGAGATTGTCCATCTCTACTCTTCCTTCTTCCGATCTGCTTCTTCCCTTCCCTTCTTTTCTCCTCTCCTCTTCTCTTCCTCTCCCTTCCCTTCTCCTCTTCCCTTCTCTTCTCTTCTCCTCTTTCTCCCCTCCCCTCCCCTCTTCTCTCCTCTTCTCTTCCTCTCCCTTCCCTTCTCTTCTCCTCTTCTCTTTCTCTCCTCTTCCCTTCTCTTCTTCCTCTCCCTTCCCTTCTCTTCTCCTCTTCCCTTCTCCTCTTCTCTTCCTCTCCCTTCCCTTCTCTTCTCTTCTCCTCTTCCCTTCTCTCCTCTTCTCCTCTCCTCTTCTCTTCCTCTCCCTTCCCCGCTCTTCTCCTCTCCTCTTCCTCCCCTTCCCTCTTCTCTTCTCTCCTCTTCCTCTCCCTTCCCTTCTCTTCTCCTCTTCCCTTCTCTCCTCTTCTCCTCTTCCTCTTCCTCTTCCTTCCTCTCTCTTCTCCTCTCCTCTCCTCTTCCTCCCCTTCCCTCTTCTCTCCTCTTCTCTTCCTCTCCCTTTCCTTCTCTTCTTCTCTTCTCTTCTTCCCCTTCCCTCTTCTCTTCCCTATCCCTTTTGTTTTACTTCACTGCATTCCTATTTTACCCCATTTCCATTTTATCCAATGTTTTGTATTCTTTTCTTCTAATTTATTCAAGCTTTCTCTCCTTCCATTTCTTAGGATTGCTTTTTTTTAAAAAAGTTTTATATGTCTGCTATATTGTCTGTCTTGTATTTTGGCCACCCGTTTTGAGCTTTTCACATATTTTGCTGGTGCTTCACCATAACTAAATAAATCTGGACTTAAATTTGAACCCACTCCCTTGTCTGTTCAGTGTCCATCCGTCTCCTCTGAGTTCTGAGTTTCCTTCGCTTTTCTCAGCTCCGAAAACCATCTCCCCATTCAATCCATTCACCCCCGTTTTTCTCTCCCCCCCAAAAAAACTTTCCCCCAAACAAAACGAACATTCCATGACGTCACCTCAATTCAACCAATCAGCACCAGAGGCCTGCGGACGGCCAACGCAATCCAACAATTCGCAACCACTCTCACCAGAAATTTACATTCTTGATATGCAACTGTAGAAATTAAAATGCGCACGAGGCGCCTTTATGGCGAGGGGAGGGGCTTCAAAAATTTTAGCAAGGGGTCCTCTGCCCGGTTGCTGGGTGGGCGTGGCAATGGTGGGCGTGGCCTAGTCAGCCTCCTGCATGACATCAGGGGGAGGTTTTGCCCTTCTTAAGTCTCCAGGAGGGCGGAAACAGCCTCCCCAGGGGCTGGAGACCCTCTGGAGATCAGAAACGGGCTTGAACTTCTGGTAGGCCTGTTTTTTGCCCGCGCCGAGCCTCCATGCATGGCCGGCACTTCCCTGCTTCCAAAATGGGTTGCGTGGGGACTCCTGGGAGGGGTGGGCATGGCCAGCTAGGAGAGGGATTTGGGGGTTCTCCGAACTGCACAGAATCTTAGCTAGAGGTTCTCCCAAACCCCTGAGAACCTCCAGCAGCCCACCCCTGCTTTATTGCCTTGTGAGGCCAAGCGATAAGTATAATATTGGGCATTCATGGTTTCCAGGGCGCAACACACAGCCCCCCATTTCCAAATACAAAAGCTGTTTTCTAATAGATGCTTGGAACAACTTCCCCTATAAAGGATTTGCAGCAGCCTAAGTGGAAAGAAAATTTTAAAAAGGCAAGCTTCCCCCCCCCCCCCGGGCTGATAGAAGACAATACAGCTTGAAATATTGTAGACAAAAGCAATATTAATATCCTTTAAAAAATAACCCACCCTGGAAAATAGGGAACAAGCTTTGGTCTGTACACCAAGAAACTTTCCAAGCCAAGATTCCGTTCAAGAGTTGATCAATGACTCTTCTGTTTCCATGCGCTGCTTCCCAGATATGGTATTCTATTTTTCTCATTAACGGTTCGGTAGTGGGAGCGCGCAGAATCCCCATTTCCTCCCAATCAGCTGGGATCTCAACTTATTCTCCAAAGCACCTCAAGGCAGAACAAGAAGCAACAGATGGAAACTAACCAAGGAGAGAAGCAACTTAGAACCGAGGAGAAATTTCCTGACGGTGAGCAAACAATTCATCAGTGGAACAGGAGTTGCCTCCGGAAGTTGGAAATGTTCCAACACTGGAAGTTTTTAAGAAGAGATTGGACAACCATTTGTCTGAAGTGGTGTAGGGTCTCCTGCCAGAGAAGGGGGTTGGACTAGATGACCTCTGAGGTCCCTTCCAACTCTATTATTCTGTCATCCCACTGCTAATAATATGGAGACACAACTGCCTTGAAGCAGGAATGCCTTTCTTTGGGAAGATTGCAGATGTTAATCGACTGCAAACTTTGATCACAACATTGTCCCTTTGTTTAGCCAGATGAATCCTCCTTAAAACCAGGAGCACACCGCGAGAAATCTCCAGAACCATAAAGCCTATAAACTTGAAATTTGGCCTGAATGTTCCTCTTCCATCCCCACTGTTCCAGCCCCACTAAGAACTGAGTGCATATTGTGTTCTTTTAACCTCTTGTTTTTGTATTTTAAATTTTCTAGTATTTTTAACTGTTTTTATGTGAGCCGCCCAGAGTCCTTCGGGATTGGGCGGCATACAAATCCATTCAAATTCAAATTCAAATTCTTGGCTTCTAGGTGCTTGCTAAGAAAGGGTTTTTCAAAATGAGCATCAGATCATTAATATTTCCTATTCAGTAATTAACACACTCTGATTCTAAGGAGTTCTACTCCCTCTCCCCACCTGAAAAGATCTCTGTTCCAACTGCCAGTTGCCTCACATTCCATTACCTCAGTTCAAACTGGCAGATGTTCCACTCCTTCACTCAATGGCGGCCTGGGGCTCCTTACAGTACTAAACGTCAGCTCCTCACCAAAATGTCTCTAC